CCGGCAGGGCGGCGGGGCTGCCTGCCGGCTGGGCTGCGGAGGGCGGGGCAGCCGGGGGGAGCCCCCCTAGGGGACCCAGCTCTCCTGGGGCTGGCACAAAGCTGGCCAGGTTCTCCAGCCATGCCACCTTATCCATGACTGGCAAGAGCCAGGTAAGCACAGCCGAGGGCCGGGAAGTTGTGCTGGGGGGGCGGGGGAGGTCTTCTGGTGAAAGATGATACGCTTTGGGTTGTCTGGCAGTGTTCCCTGTAAGCTGGGCACTTGGGTGGCCACCCAGGAGAGATTAAAATGCTGCCCAGCTGATTACTGGAGCATGCACAGCCGGCATCATGTGATTGGTGGTGCACATCCACACATGCCTCGGTGCACAGAACAAAATGTATTCCACTTGATGGAAGAAGTTAGAGGGAACATTGGTGTCTGGGCCCTGCAGGGTGCTGGGGGTGGAGCTTAGGCACCTATCCCAAACCAGGAAGCAGCCCTGTACAGGAGGGACTAACCTAGGAATTTTCAAAAGCCTCAGTTCCCCTATCCGATTGCTTTGAACAGAACATTTGATACATGGGCTAGTCTGTGAACTGGGCCTGATCGGAGATTTCACTTCCTTTATTAAAATCAGCTGGTGGCAGTGACAGGTTAAAAGTAGTGCAAAGATTCTGGCTCCACAACCCCATTTGAAATCTGATGATGTTATTGCCTGTTGTCTCTCTAAACAAAAGCTCCATCTAAGGATTGTTTTTATTTCTGCTAGTTTCTTCCTTGAAGCGTTTAAACATGTATTGGTCTTTAGGCATGTAGGGCCAGGTCCCCAGAGGCTATAAACTGATATAGCTCCATTGAATCAGCCCCCCTGGGGATTGCATGAATGAGAAATTGGAAAAACATGACTATATACCTAGGGCTCTCAAGCTTGACCCCAGAGGAATCCCTGCCCAAGGAAACTGTGTAGTGTGCTCCCTTTCTTCAGTAGCCTCTTTATGAGCAACAATAGAATTCCTCCCTGCCAGGGGTGATTGAGTGTTCTCCAGAAAGGTGGGGGGGGGGGGGGGGATTCCCTGCCCCCCCCCCCTTGTAGGACAGGGGTATGGCTCTGAGAATAGGCCCAGCCTAGAGAAGGAAGTCAGGCTGTGTTCCAAGCTCAGAAACTTGCAAGAGCGGATAGAAGTGCTGTGTCAGTAGCCTGTAGCTTAGTACATGGAAACCCCACAGAGCCCAGAAGGAACTCTGGAGGAAACATGATATCCAGGCAAATTATTTATTGCTGTACAAAGAACAGAGGGGCAGGGACAGCCCCTACCATGGAGAGGTGGTAGTCAATCAATGAACACCTTTCTTGGCCCATCAGGGCCCCCCGACAACTACCAGAGGATCAGGGCCCCCCAACAACTGCCAGAGGATCACCGTATGCCCGATAGATTATACAGGGGCTAGGGATGGTAAGTATAAGGCAGTGGAGAAGCACAAAACAGTTTTAAGGTAACTGAAGCTCTGGATCAATGCATGAGTCAGTTGTAACCCCAGCCTCCGGCCCTTGAAATATGAACAGTTCAGAGCTCTTAAAGAGCTTGACCATGGGGCAGGTGTCAGATTGCTCTGCAGGGTAAGCTGGATATCAAGTGACTGATCTGGACTGAGTTGAGCCAAGATTGTTTTATGGGGCAGTTTCATTTGCCACAATCTTCCAAACGATGACCCGAGGAAGATCAGCTCTCTCTTCACTCTCACTGCCTGCTTTAGAACACTCAGGATCAAATAACTCACGTCATGCTGTCACATAGGGCCCGCAAGCCACTTGGACAGTTGCTGCCGCTAACTGCATTGTGAGGCTTTACTCGACCCTTTGGGAAATGGCTTATTGAAAATAGGGCAAGTTTTATTACAGACTAGGTAAGTGCTTAAGAATTTGGCCTGTGGTACATACGTAACAAAGATCACACCTGATTCAAAAACACACTCAAGTCAATGGGACTCTTTCTACTAAAGCCATAGGATTTCAGGTCAGGACTATAGACCAGAAAGATCGTGTAAGTGCAGTATTACCACCTCCCATTCTCAAAGAATCACAATATTAAAAAAAATTAAATGGGCTTTTTCCCATCTTTTTGAACACTTGGCTCCTGTTTTCAGTACATGGGAGCAAGACGCTTCCTTTTCTTAAAAGGATGGCTGAGATAGGATCAATATGACTCCAGTGTGAAACTTCAGGTATCAAAAGACTTGCACATAAAACAAAACAAACCCCCGTACATTGTTTCTCACTGGCAGTGTTACCAATTTTAAAAAGTCTCAGGGCCGTTTGCTAATGAAAAGATCCACATGCAGCAGATTCAAGTGTGCTGCCAGGAGGCACAGCGTGGTGTCAAGTAGAGTATAATTGCCCTGATAGCACAGAATATATGTTCTAGTTACAGTTCCATTAAGATGAGAAATGTTTCCTTTTTACTTCTGGAAATTAACATGTTGCAATGCATAATTTGGTGTTGAGTCAAGTGGAGATAATCTCCAGTTCACAAGGGATGAATCTGACTTATGTCCATGAATTATTTCATGCACTATGATACAAGCTAATAGAAAATAGTTAGGGGTAGTTAATTTTTTTTAAACTTACAAGTACTACTGTTACTTTGGGACATAACACCTCGTGTGAAATTCTGGCTTCACTGACTTCACCTCCAGAATTGATATACTGCTATCTGTTTTGTCTGTATTACTAAGGCCTGCATTTCTCCTTCAGTCCTGCACACAATAACGATGAGAATAGTTCAGAGAAAAAGAATAGTTCAGTGAGTCGGATGCTATTCTAGGACTGAATCTACTTGGGCTTAAGTCATTCCTCTGCCATCGTCTTCCTTTTTGACCCTGAGCAAGTCATTTAATCCCTCATCTGTACACCTGGAATAGCAGCTCTTTCCTACCTCAGAGCAATATTGTGAGGGACAATATAAAGATTGTAAAGTGCTCAGATACTGGTAATGGGGCCATAAACAGACCATGCCCACTGAAGTCAGAAAAAATATTTCACTTCCGTGGTCAATGGATTTTGTGTGCTGACACTAGCTACTCTCTGCCTCAGGCTCCTCATTTTTTGAAATTGGGGATTGAAGAATTTTCTTCATTCAGGAAAGAAATACTTGATAGAAAGGAGCAAAACATGCCTAACAAAGTAAAAAGAACAAAAAATATTTTCCTGTGCATTATGAATTAAAGTTGGAACACTTTCACAATTCACTAAAGAACAAGGATGATTTAAAAAGCAAAAATGGGTTCATTCTGAAGCAAAAATGGCTTTGCATGCAGTCGTGTATGAACATGATCTTTTGTATATCTATGATGTTAATAGCTACTGTGGATCCACAGTACCATGGGGCCACCATGCTTTTGGAACACAGTTCTGCAGAACTCAAATACTGCATTTTTTTTGTGTCACTACTATTAGGCACATCTGTCATGACAGCGGGGGGCTGACAGACTTCCCAGGCCCCTAAGCAACTTGGGGAGGGGACACTGGTTCTGCTTGCTAGAAAGGGGCAAGGCCTCAGGTGGAAGGGGCTTGGCTAAGAGCAGCCAGCTCTCTGTGCTTGCGGGAATGCGCCACACCCAGGAGTGGCCCAAAGCGGGCTGCGGCAGCTGGCGCCCCAGGCAGAACGCGCGATCGGCACCCCCGCCTGCACAGCCGTCAATGGGCCATCAATGGGGCGACGTCATCATCGGGCGCCCCGTGACATCATCATCGGGCACCACTGAAGGCGGTGCCCTAGGCGACAGCCGAGTCGGCCTATAGTCACAGGCCGCCCCTGGCACCGCCCCCTCCCTCTAGCCCTCCAAGATGCTCAGTGCTCCACCAGCAATGTAAAGGGCCAAGGGTGGTGGGGCTTGTAGTAGCAATGGTTGGGAACCCTGGATCCTTTGAGTTGCCAGGGCAGTTGCTCCCTTCTTTCCCTCCCCCCCCCCCCCATTTCCGTGGGCCTGCGCAGCACTTATGAATACAAGCAGGTCAAGCAGGGCCCCCTTGTGCTAAGTAGTGTATATACATGCAGTAAGGAACAGCCTCTGTCCCAAAGAGGTTACAGTTTAGAGCAGGGGTGGGGAACCTCAGACGTGGGGGCCAGATGCAGCCCCTGGCTTGTCTGGATCTGGTCCCTGAGACTCAGGGCTGTCCCTCAGCATTGAGGAGCCTGTGCTGGTGCTCCAGGCACCACTGCTCCATTGTGGGGCCGGAGCACAAAATCTACTAGACTGGGCTAGGGATGTAAGCAACTAGTCAACTACCCAATAAGCAAATGCTTATCAGGTAGTTGAGTAGGAATTCAACTAGTCACTTCCCTGCCCCTTGCTGCCTCTGTCAGAGAGAGACAGCGGGGAGCATGAACCGGTGCTTGGGGGAGCCAATTTAAAAGTTGGTTCCTCCAGCACCGTCTCCAAGGGGGGCAGTGGGGAAAGGAGCAAGCGGCCTGATTGCTGGTCATCTCCCTTTGAAATGTACAAGAGCTGCCTGCAGTTCTTGTACATTTCAAAGGGCGAGGCACAGAGGGGAACCTGCTCCAGTGAGGACTGCTTTGATCCTGCAGCGCGGTTCCTGCTGCCTCTCTCCCTTTGAAATGTACAGGAGCCACGTGCGGCTCTTATACATTTCAAAGGGAGAGGCACAGCGGGATAGCAAGCACCCCCTTATTGACCAATCGAGTAGTTGATGAAATTCCTAATTGACTAATCGAGTTGTTGATGGAAATTCGCTGATTCATTGAAATTTAACATTCCTAGACTGGGCCCCGCTAGGATCTAGTATGCGAAGGGAATTCAGGGAGTGTATTTCTCCTTAGTCGGGGCCACGTCTGTGAGGGTTTGGAGCTTTTTTGTTTCTCATTTGTGTGCGGCCCCCAACTGATTTTTTCTGTGGGTCAGTGGCCCTTGACAAAAAAGATTCCCCGCCCATGGTTTAGAGGAACAAAACCGAGACAAATAAAGTTGCCCAAAAAGCCTAATGGCAGGGCTATGGCTCCCAAATCCTAGCCCAGGGCCCTGAGTAATTCATTGATCTCTGTTGCAGCTCTCCTTCCCCCTCTTTAGTAAGTTGCCTGGCAGAAAAAAGCCCATTCTGCTTATTTTGCCGATTGATGTATTCTTCCCAAGGCATCTCACTGGGGATGTTAAA